ACCCCCCAAAAGTGCAACTTAATCGACATTTCCCAATTTCTCTCTCAAAACCCTAACATTTTCTACTCTCAATCTATCAGAATTGACTTGCAATTTCTCAAGAAAATCTTCTAATCTCAACTCTCAAAATTCCACATAATCGAAATTGCTTGAAGATGGTCAGGAAAAAAATGATATCCTTTAAGGATAAGTCTGAAATGAAGGAGAAAGCAGAAATTGTGAAGGAGAAATCAGAAATTGGGAAAAGGAAATCGAAATCGGCGACCTCTGAGTCTCAACCTGTGATGCAACAATCTAAGAAATCGAAATCGGCGACCTCTCAGTCTCAACCTGTGAAGCAACAATGTAAGAAATCGAAATTTGCGATTGAGACCTCTCAGTCTCAGCAATTGAAATTTGATATTCCACTCAAGGAGAAATTGCAGCCAAAATTTGATGTAGACAATCTCAGTTTGATCGAGAAGGTTGCTCTAGGTGTTAAAGTTCCAAACTGCGAGATGAAATCGCGGCAAAAAGAGCTTGACTACCTTCCCCCTCCTAGATATGGTGAGTATAATTGTTGAAATTTGGGTTTTAAAATTAGGGTTTCTAATTTTATGTTGCTGATCAACAAAAATTTCTATTCGGTTTGTAGGAACCCAAAGTGAGTTTTTCACAGTTGGTCTACATTATGGAGGTGAATTTGACCAAGGTCACAACTATGCAGCATATCTAGGAGGTTCTTCAATTATTTTTCATTTTGTTGACTATACAAAGGTATGTCTCGATGATTTCAGAAAGCTTGCTGAAAGAAAAGGTATAAAGAAACCTTTGAGACTGTATCAAAATAAGGGACATATGTTTGTGTTAGTAAGCTCTCAGCGCGATTTAGGAAAAATTTGGGAAGATAATAGAATGTTTAGAGAAGTAAACTTGTATGTTGATGAACTGAGAGAAATGCAAAAAGAACAGGAACTGGGTGATAAATGTGAGGTTCAGGCTGGTGATGTGAGCTTGGGTGAGGGAGTTAAGGGAGATGGTGAGCTGAGTGAGGGAGGTAAGAGAGATGGTGCTATGAGCTTGGGTGAGGGAGTTAAGGGAGATGGTGATGATGCTGTGAGTTTGGGTGAGGGGAATGAGGGTGATGATGCTGTGAGTTTTGGTGAGGGGAATGAGGGTGATAATGCTGTGAGTTTGGGTGAAGGGGATGAGGGTGATGATGCTGTGAGTTTGGGGGAGGAGAATGAGAGAGACTTAAGTGATGAAGGGGAGTGTCTTGGTAGTGATGAATCCAGTGATGAACTTTATGATTGGGAGTATGATATGGGGGATGACAAAGTAGATGATGGGGGTGTTTGGTTATTGGCGTTTAAGCCATATTTTAGCTGTTTGACCCATTTAGCTTTTTTGACATTTTGACCAGCTAATTAAAAGTGTTTGGTTTTTAGCTGATTCAACAGGCTTATTTGCCCCTAAAACGCTAAAATCCCAAAGCTGCTTGTAGGAGCGTTTGAGGATAGCGGTTTCCATTAGTTAATTGTATTTGAGAGAGTTTAATTATTTTTAGTATCCAATTTATTTTCTTTAAAAAAAATTACACTGCAACATTTTTGTTTGTTACTTGCATTCAATGACCATAGATTTCGCATATGTTTGGATTCTTGTTGCTTTGAATGCCTTCGTTGTTCATTCATTTTGCATTTTTTTTTTTAGTTGAAGAAAATAAAATTGAAGTTATTTGGTTTTATTAGGAAGAGTAAGATTAAAGGTTGATAATTGATATGCGACTTTTTACATTTTTATGTTTTTTTCATTTCATTTCTTTTATTTATTTGAATATTTTTTATCATGTCAAATTAGAATTTTCTTCACATTTTTCATTTCATAGTTATGTATTGTTATATCTTATTTGTGTTAGGTTATTTTAAGTCGTTTTACAAAGATTTGAAATATAAGAAATAAATATTTTCTAAATAATTATATTAAATAAATAAGATTATTGAAGAATAAATGTTATATAAGTAATTTTACATGTTAACAGCAATTAATTTTACCAAACACTATTTTGCAAACCGCTAACACAATCAGCTGGTCAAAACAGCTAACGCAATCTGCTAGTCAAAGCAGCTAATACAATCTGCTAACAGTTAACAGCTAACTGCTAATTACCAAACAAGGCCGATAAGTTGTTTGATGAGAATGTTGATAATGATGTTGAATTGTTAGGTGATCAGAGTGGAAATCAACCTGAAAATGATAATGAAAATGAAAATGAAAATGAAAGTGAAGGGGATGAAGATGTGGTATACCAAGAGGAGTTAAATAGTGAAGATAGCTCTGATGAGGACAAAGTGAGTTATAAGTATCCTGTGTTTAATCCTAATGACTTGTATGAGCCAAACTTCAAGATAGGTATGATGTTTGCCTCAAAAACTGAGCTTAGGACAGCTATACATTCAAGTGCCATTAAGGCAAAAAGAACTGTGGTAATTAGCAAAAATGTGAAGCAGTACCTCAGAGCTAAGTGTGGTGATAGTAATTGTCCATGGAAGATTAGTGCAGTTAGGGTGAAAAATGAGCAGACCTTTCAGGTTAGCAAGCATAACCCTAGACACACTTGTGCAATGACTGAAAAGGTAAAAAATTTGAAATCCACTTGATTGGCTGGGAAATATGCTGCTGTTTTTCAAGATGATCCTAAGAGGGCTGTTAAGGGATTTAGAAATCAAGCAGCAAGAGAGCTTAAGGTTCACATTTCTAAACAACAAGCATACAAAACCAAAATGCATGCCATTGCAGATAAAAAAGGTGAACCTAAAGAGCAGTATGCATTGTTGTGGGATTATTGTGAGGAGATTAGAAGAACAAATCCTGGTAGTACAATTGTTTTGGATACAATTTCTGAAAGTGGGAAGAGTGTGTTTAATAGATTATATATTTGCTTGAATGCTTTGAAGTTGGGATTTAAGGCAGGTTGCAGGAAACTGTTTGGTGTGGATGGTTATCATCTGAAAGGTCCCAATAAGGGGATTTTGCTTACTGTTGTTGGGATTGACCCCAACAATGCACTTTACCCATTGGCTTATGTTGTTGTTAGTGTTGAAAACTTTGACAATTGGGAGTGGTTTTCTATTCTTCTGAAAAATGATTTGGAGATTGTCAATCAGCATGAATGGACCATCATTTCAGATAAGCAAAAAAGATTGATACAGGTTGCACAAGCTATTTTTCCAAATTGTGATCACAGGTTCTGTGTTAGACATTTGATGGGAAATTTCAGAGATGCTGGCTTTAGAGGGATAACATTTAAGAATGCTGTTTGGAGATGTGCTACAACCACTACAGTTAATGAGTTCCACAGGAAAATGGCTGCAGTTAGAGAATTGTGTGAAGGTGCTTGGAGTTGGTTGTCTACAAAACCAGCACAAGAGTGGAGTAGGTCACACTTTAGTGTTATTTCTAAGTGTGACATACTTCTTAACAATGCTTGTGAGACATTCAACAGCAATATCCTTGAGGCCAGGAACTACAAATTCTGTCAATGCTTGAGTGGATAATGGGGTATTTGATGAAGAGATTGCAGCAAAATAGGGATAAATGTGCAAAAAAATGGAACTTTACATTGTGTCCCAAGATACAGGAAATCATAGATGCTCATATTGATAATTTGGTAGAATGCATCCCCCTCAAATCTGAAGAGTACAATTTTCAAGTTGAATGTGTGAATGGTGATCAGTTTAAGGTGGATCTAAGGGCACAGAGCTATGGGTGCAGAAAATGGGAGTTGTCTGGCATTCCTTGTGTACATGCAGTAAGTGCAATCAATCTACAAGGCTGGAGCATTGAAGACTTTGTAAAAACCCTTGCTACAAGACAGAGACATACAAGAGGGTGTATGAGCCTGCAATCATGCCTATTAATGGAAGGAAAGAATGGGCAGCAACTGCTTATCCTCCACCTGAGCCACCAAATCTTGGAAGAGCAGCAGGAAGGCCAGGAAAGGCTAGGAGAATGGAACCTGATGAAGTTCTTTCTAGTGGAAGAAAGAGGCCAAGGGGTAAGCCTAGGGTTGTGACCATTGGAAATACAATGAAGAGGCAACAGATGACAGTGAGGTGCAGCTTCTGTCAGAGGGAAGGTCACAATAGGAAAGGATGTCTTCTCTTCAAATCTCAAGGTCAACAAAGACTAGAAAAGTTGAAGGTAATTGTATATTAAATTGTTTTTTCATGTCTTCATATATAAGTTGATTTATGTTTTCATTATATAAAGTTGATCCATACAAGTTTGTTCATGTTTTCAGCCTAGAAAGAGAGGTGTTGATCCTGTCCCAGCAATTGGAGTGTCAACTCAAGAGAGCACAAGTAAAGTAAGTAGTCATCTTTTAGGTTCTTTCAGTTTCAACAATTAATAGTCATGTTTACAAAATAAAACAAAATGACCTTACTTGTTCATGTTTTCAGACTAGAAAGAGAGGGGTTGATCCTGTCCCAGCAGTTGGAGTGTCAACTCAACAAAGCACAAGTAATGTGAGTACTCATCTTGCTGCTTTATTTGACTTTCAACTATTAATAGTAATGTTTACAAACTAACACAAACAAAACTTACTTGTTAGGTTACAAACCAAACTATACATGTTGCTCCATAAGCCCCTGCCCCTCTCCCTGCTTTTCCTACTCCAACAAAGTGGTATAAATCTGCTACTCCACATGCCCATGCCCCTGCTCCTGCTCCCGCTCCACCTGTTCCTGCTCCACCTGCCCCTGCTCCATCTGTTCCTGCTCCACCAGCCCCTGCTCCAACACAATGGTTCAAAGTTGCTCCAACTCCTTACCAACAAATGCAGATGGGACATCCCACTAAACGAGTGATCATCAGAGGACCAGTACCATTTGTTAGTGGTCATTTCATACCTAGCCAAGAGAGCTGCCTAACTGAGAGAGATTCAAGATTGAAGGAGATATTCAAAGAGTGTGGCCAAAAGTACACCTCTATTAGTAGTCTTGTTCCATCTGTTGATCCTAAAAAGAAGGGAAAGAATGTAAACAAATAAGTGATTTGGTTGTTGGTTGGTTGTCTTTGGATATAAACTGAATTTGGGTGTTTTGTTGGTTGATGGTTGGTTTTTGGATATTAACTGATTTGGGTGTTTTTGTTATTGTGACTAAATGGTAGGAAATTTGGATGGTTTAGTTGGTTCAGGTTATGGACAAGTTCTTTTTGTTTGGAATTGTGTTTGTTATGAAATTGTATGTGAAGAATTTTGGTCATGGAAATGACAACAGGTTCTGGTTATGGCTTGATCTTATGGTTAGTTTCTGCTTACTTTAGTTTGTTTATGGTGTGATTTTGTGGTTATGGAGATATACTCAAAGTTATGTTTACTGTTTGCATAAGGTTGGTTACTTTAGGGCAAAATTTAATCATGTTGTTGATCATTTGAAAACTTAATAAACATGAACATTCATCAAACAACAACAAGGTACAAAATTTTAACACACACATAGTGGTCATTCATCAAACAACAACACAAACTGAGAATTCAAAGGGAAAGATAACAAGTACAAAATGTTCACACATACACATCTAATCCATGACTGAAGAAAAACATACAACTTTCAAACTTTCACCACAAGACAACAATAGAAAAAAAAAAATAATGAAGAGCAACCATGTCGCAGCAACAAACACTTGGAGCTTCAAGATTTTTTGTCGAATTTTGGACAATTCTTCATCATAGATGTCCTGCACATGCAACTGGAGTTCAACACTCTCCTTCAATTTTTTGTTCTCGGCTTCAAACAATAACATCCTGTTCCTGACCTCAATTATTTCATTGGCAAGAATCTGATTGTTCGAGCTCTCTGGATCATCCTCCCATTTAAAGAACGTACAACCCCCATCCTTCCAATTCTTGCAACCATGAAACTTCTTACCAGGATTTGATGGAGTCCTTGATGTGCGTAGTTGAGCTCTCTTACCACAGTAACATAAAAGATTGGAAGGCGACGGGAAGGAAGAAGAAGCAGACGACATCGTTTTCGCTCTCTCTCTCTCTCGGTTTCTTTCAATTAGGGTTCATGAATTTTCAATTTGGGGCAAAAAATGGTATTTAAAGACTCTTAGGTATGTGGCAATTTCTTTATCCACCTCACAATTGATTTTCGTTTTATTTAACATACAGCCGCCACACCGGATTAAAAAATGCCACGTCAAAATTTTATCCTGGGGTGGGATAAAAAAGGACCATAAATGATTAAATGGACAAATTATAGGACCTAAATTGAAAGTGGACTATATAGGGGTGGTTTTTTGGACTATGACCAAGTTATAGGACCAAAAATGAAATTTTGCCCGAGAGAGAGGGTAGAATCCCTTAGGGTCTGCGCGTGCTTGCTGCTGAGGGAGATGAGAGTTTATGATGATGGCTGCTGGATTTATGTAATAAGCTGAGGGGGATTTAATCTCAAGTTAAGGGCTTAAACATGTATATATATACACATGTTATAGGTTTGATAAATTGCTGGATTCACAAGCCAAATCGCACGCACACACCCGCACTGAAAAAATAAAAGGGACCGGGTTCTCGGTCGGGTCAGTTCACATGCTGGTTCGAGATAACAACTCGTTCTCGGGCTCGATTTAATCGCATGATTAAAATAAAAATTTAGATAAATACATATATATTTATAATACACATTTTTATTTAATTATAATATGACATTTAGACAATTAATATTAATAATAGTATTATCAATAATAACAACAAATAATAGCAAATTGGCATTTAATAATAATAATAATAATAATAATAATAATAATAATAATAATAATAATAATAATAATAATAATAATAATAAATGCAATTAATATTAGCAATAATCAATAATTATTCCCAAATAATCTACGGTAAAACGGAGTATTACAGTCTATCCACCTTACAAAGAATTCCGTCCTCGGAATTCGAAAATAAAAATCTAGAAAGCGATAAAAATACAAAGGAGAACTTAAAACTCAAAGTTCGGATACTTCCGCCGGATATCATCCTCTCTTCCGAGTCGCCTCATCCTCGCCATGTCGGCTCCATCGCACCTTTGACGAGTCTAGCTGTCCGGTTTCTCAGCTGATGAACCCTCACGTCCAAAACAGCCACCGGTACCTCAACCTAGGTAAGGTCTCACTCGACCCGCAACTCGCCAAAGTCCACACCACATGCTCAGGGTCACGCGCGCTCTCACGAAACATCACACGTGGAATACGTCGTGAACCCCACCGAAACTAGTGGTAAAGCCAACCTGTATGGTAGGTCACCGACTCGCTCGAGTATCACACATGGCCTTACGAATCATGGCTGAAGTTTTCCCCTCCTCCTGAAACGGATCACACCCTATCTCTGTGCATCCTACAGGAACACAAGATCACCCACCTCGATCTAGTACAATGGCTTTCTCAATGTACGCCCGTACAACTCCTTACAACACATCTATCAACACACAAGACTCTCAACGATCTTCCTGTGTGTTGATAATATGCTGCAATCCTCCCAATCTGGAGTCGATAGGTGGATTTAGCTTCAGTATCGTGCCCGGGTCACGCTGAAAACTCATCCACTATCATAACCCGTGCTCCTCCGCCGAAACGGCCGACATGATACTCCATAACAACCAACTATCTCCAAAACCCTCACTTTCTTTGTAGCCTCAAACCTACGAAGTATACCTAGTCTCCAATCGAGACTCATGATGCCGGACATCAACAATGCGGAGTCACAACTTGCCAACCTGAGAACATCTCACCTATGGTATAGGAACTAATAAAAAAGTCTCACTTGTCGAAATTTTATTGATCTAGAAAAACCACACAACGGTTCAGTGAAACTTGGAGCTCTCGGTTCAAGGTTCAGAAGAAAGCTTCAAAGTCAAGGGTCGACCGTACACACTGTCCTGGGGAGTTCGTGAGTTCGGTGATGGTGGCTGCAGCTCACGTGCGAGTCAACGATCGGCCCAGCCGGTAGCCTCACGTCTCTCAGCACGGCTTGCATGCTCGACCACCACTTCGCATGGCTACACCCAGTCAGAGTCGGTGTTCAGGTCAAGTTGCTGTCAAAAAGTTCTCAATTCTATGGCTCAAAAATCTCCAAGGTGTTCGAATAGGTAAAATTTTTACAAGACAAGGTTTGGGGTTCAACAAAACGATTTTCCTCCATGATTTTAGGCAATAAGCAAATCCCAAAATGTTTCAAGGGCCACAAATCAACACAAGGCAAAAACCGAGTTCCAAGTTCACCACCCATTTTTCCTAATTCAGAACAATTAGTCACAAGGATATAAACAATAGGAATTTGAATAAAATTCTCAAAAGATCGAACATCGGCATTCCCAACTAGGAATAATCCTAACTCAGCAGTCATTGCCGAACAAATAAAATGATTTGCCCGTTTGACTATTCCGACTAACAATGTCGGCTGCCACGACAGCTTTTACTCCAGTAGCTAATCGTACCGGCAGTCCTAAACGAGTTTAACCTCATATACATCCTATAGTTTCCATACTCCGAGATCTTAGCGTAAAGCTTATCTCGTAAGTATTACCAGTCAACAATGACATAGCAACGATCAAGTCAATCACATAAGGCACATAAGCATGCATATTGAAGGTAACACTTATTTTCGAAAACATAACTCATGTGATATAACTGAACCACATAGTCTCAAATGAATATAAGTCCTAAGACACGTGGCTACAATTCTCATTTAAATCACACAAGCATAAAAGGTCGTTCGATCACATATTTTTCAGCAACATTAAAATCATGATCGCAATTCAAAGCAGGAAATAGTCAACTTACAGGGTTTTTAGAAAATTGAGAATTTTATAAGCTACAGGCACCCAAATAACACGATTCAAGACTCAAGTTAAGACTAAGGCATGCATCTACAATATTTATTTAGATCACAAAAGTCGATAAAGTCATTAAGATAGTGTAAAAGCAATTAACATTTAGAAATCAATTTCTGCCATCATTACCAACACATCTCATGCATATCCTAAATAGATTTAACATAAATCGAGCCACAGTCATCATATAAGCACGAACTTTATCTCATTAGAAAGCTAAAAAAAAGACCTATACCTTTCATTTTGAACACTTAAGCCAAAAAAATAACTTTAAAACCGAGTTTAAGCATAAAACACTTAGGTCAAGAAATCTGCCAACATAACTATTTGTCAAATTACAGCACTTCACTAAAACAACGATATCTCAAGTTATAATACTCTAAATCAAACAAACTCAAAACCTACAGAAACTACACTAGAAAAGCTACAAGTTTCAAGAAGATCATTTTTAAGAATAAGTACGTTAAAGGCCCTATTTCAGAATATACATTTCAGTCATATACACTGCCACTATTTCAAAATTTCTGGACATAGATCCAACTTTGAAAAATCATATAAAATCAACTAAAACACCAAATCGCAAGATTTCAACTTCCAGTGAAAGATTTTAACATGTACTACAAGTTTCATGATGATTACATTTTTATATTGCCACCATAGGCTCATAAAAAACAGCCCAACATCTTAACCACCAAATCTGCCCGGATTTTATAAAAACTGCATGCATGTTTAACTTTCAAATTTCATAATAAATTCCAATCAACTCCGAATCATGAAATTTCAAAACTCACAGAAACCTAACTCAAAGCACTACAAAATTTATGAAGAACACTTAACCAGATAACAGCTTTTAGGCCACGATAATCTGAGCACAACCGACGGCTAAAACATGGAGTTTTCAATTAACTACCAACCCTAATCATACACTCATGAACCGAGCATCAACAAGTCACATATAATCACAACATATATCTCAAATACATACATATAAGACATAGGGAGGTCGGTCCTAACATGATTTTAACACAAATTCACATAAACTCATACGATCACCACATAACACGATTTAAAGAATTCTAGTCGTGCAATAATCGACAAGTTCAATCATATAAGCATGCTTTTCATAACATCAATTTTTAACATCTCGGATCATATAGAGCAACAACATCATGCTTAACTACAAACTCATACCTTTTACAACTGTGTGCCTCGCATCCAACTCACAAGATATTCACGCGATGTCGGAGTAATCCACTTGTCCTATGGACAACGTCGTCGTCTTTCATCCATGCATTAGTCTTCAGGACTTATGCTCGATTTAACGTACAAGAATTATCAACCATCGTCCCTCTCGAGGCTTAGCCACTCTCAAGAGTTACGACGGTGATACGCGTTAGATTCTCCTAAACTATGGGGGTCGATTAGTAACCAATTCGCGGCATCTAAACGACACTCCCGGTCCTCGACGATTGAGGTTCTAATTTCCCGAGTGATCTCATACACTAGAGATTCACTCGGTACTTAACCTTTCTCTTTCGAGATGGGTCACGAATGGTCTTACTCCAAGGACACTGAACGAATCTTATAGCGAGAAAATGCTATAACAACACTTATCTCAATAATAACATACTGAAACTCACAACTAAGAATCTCTAGAGTCCGAACTTAACTCTATATCACTAAAGTTCAATGTCAAACACTAGAGTTCACAAAACCTAAGGTGGATTGATTTCCTAAGCCTCAAAACAACATATATATCACTTCATGAGTAGTCTCATAGCTACTCATGCAAAACCTCATAAGTAGTTTCATTGCTACTCATGTAAAACATCACAAGTAGTTTCATTGCTACTCGTGCAAAACATCACAAGTAGTTTCATTGCTACTCATGCAAAATCATAATTCACATTATAAGTATTTTCATGGATACTTATATAAAACATACCTTAAGCAGTGCGGCGTGACGAAGACGAGTGGTCAACACAAGGTCTAAATCACATAAACAAGTTATTCACATATAGACCAGTCTACAGAAATGCAGACTGGCTCTGATACCAAACTGTAACACCCCACTTTGATTTTAAAGAAATTCCGGACTTTCCAAAATCAATATTAATTTTTCGAGATCATTTTCGAAAT